ATGGGGAGGGCAGCAGGTTTCACTTACCTCGCCTGGCCGCCTGCCGGGGGCAGCTGGGGTGCAGCTGGGGAGGTCCAGCACCGCCGGGTTCCCTCTGCCCATCCCTCAGAAGTTGCTGCCTCTTCTCCTTCAGCCCTGCTCTGGTCAGACTTCGAACTTAGGGGGCAGGAGGGTGACACTGCCCCAATCAGGAGAGTGAGAGCTCTCAAGGAGAGCTCAGAAGTCATGCCTTTGATCAAAGGCAATGATCACTCCCTTGGTCTGTCTCTGGCCTTCTGACTTGGGCCCCAAACCCAGACCCAGTGAATGTGTGTGGGGGGGGTGTGTGTGAAGGGGGGTAGGTTGGGGAGTGTGGGGGGGACGTGTGGTGGCTGGGGGACGGGGGGAATGTGTGGTGGGAGTGTGGGGCATTGGGGCAATCTCAAGGGCAGGGCCAGGCAAAGGTTAGCACCTCTGAGACCCTGGCCCAGGAGGGGAACTGCTCATGCCCTAGTTAGGCTGAAGGCTCAAAAAATCACTGCCATCTAATCGATTCCAACTCCCTGTGACCCCACAGGGGAGGGTAGAAAGCCCCATCTTTATCTCCAGGAGAGGCTGGCGGTTTTGGACTGCGGTTAGCAGGCCACCAGGGCTGCTAGGGTAAAGGCTCGCAGGGGATCTCATGTGGAGTAGTCTGGCTGTGAGGGACAGTGGTCATTCATGGTACTGCTGCTTCCAGCTGGGGGCCCTCGGACAACGGCTTCACTGCTTCCTGCCTCAATCCTGCCGTCTGTAAAGTGGCCACCTGTCCCCATGTCCTCCCTGGGATGGCAGTGGGCATGAAAGGATGGCTTTGCAGCTCTCCCGGGCAAGGAGAGGCCAAGAATGTGACTTCTCATTCTCCGCACGCAGGCGGGTCAGGGCCACAGGCTGACTCCCCAGCCTGCTGGGGACAGGGCACAGGGAGCTGCGAGTGGGGCTCTGCAGAGGGGCTGCGGTGGGGGCTCAGGGGCATCCGTGGAGCTGGTGCCACCCAGGGATCTCCAACCCTCCCCTCAAGGACCGGCTCCCACACCAGACCACACAGTCACCTCTGTCATGTTTGTCAGTTTTAGTCGGAGGGCCATAGGTGACACCGTTGTAAATCGCTTAAAGGCACTATTTCTTTAAAAATCTATATAGGATTAGTACGACATTATTGATAAGTGAGCAGAAGCTTTGAAAAATGTCTCTGCTTCTTTGCCTTTCGTTACTCCTTCCTTCCCCCCGAAGTTACTGAGACAGGTCCGCCGATATCACCTCCCACAAGATGATAGTTAAAATGCCAGGAAAACAGACAAAACCGGCGGCGATCAAAACACACCGGCAGCAACACAAACAACAGCCATGCTTGTAGGGCAGGTTAGTAGCGTGTTTGCAGCACACGCAGACGAAGCCACACGGTCCCCACCATCGCTGGGGCAAGAATGACCGCTCTGACCAGGATGCAGTCAGTGGTTCAAAAAGCAACTGACCCTGGCGTTTTAGCCTTGCGACTCTATTGGCATGTGCGCTGGACTTACAAAAGGTGTTTTTGCTGTTATGACTAACCCCGGGGACCCTTGTACTAGAAAAATCATACCTTTCTGCTGTAACGCTGCCCCCAAACGGTCTAGCCAGTGACGTTAGTGTCACCCCTTGTGGTAGTGTCGCTTGGTGTAGTCAGCACCCGCTTCCCCCACACCCCTCACCACACACACCCCTCCAGGAGCTCCACAGGGGGCGGGGTCTGTATGAAATGGGAGAACAGGAAGAGTGTGTTCCAGAGATGGCCTTTCTGGAGGGGCAGGGTGGAGGCGGGAGTGGTGAGAGGAAAAGGGGAGACCCAATGTCCAACCTCTACCCTGGCCCCCACCATTTTGACTCCTGAAGATGTAGTTTAACCCACTCAAACGACCCCAAGCTCCATGCAGAATTGCTGGATCTTCCCAACCCTTTTGTTTTAGAGACACCCTTAGGGCCACAAGTCCTTGAGTGGGACGTGGGGTGGGGGGACTCTCTACGTGCAGCCAGCCAGTTCAGAAGTCCCACCAGGGAAATTACTGCTCCCCTACTACCTGTCTGGTCCCACTTGCTGGTCAGCTCCTCTGACTCCTCCCATCCCAAGGCTGTGGCTGCAAGTGCCTAAGAAATGAGGAAAGGGAGAGAGAGAGAGAGAGAGAGAGAGAGAGAGAGAGACTCACCAGGCAGGGAGACATCTTTGTGGGGTGCTCATGTTTGGATGGACCCTTGGCGGCAGGATGGGTTAAGCACAGGGTTGCTAGCCAGCAGTTCGAACCCAGCAGCTGCTCCACAGGAAGAAGACAAGGCAGTCTACTCCCATCAAGATTTCCCATCTCAGAAACCCTAAGAAGCAAGTCTACTCTGCCTGATAGGATCCCTGAGTCGGAATCGACTGAGTGGCGGTGATTTAGTACTAGGCTAGGAGTCAGAACCACTAGGGAGTTAGGCTCAGGCAAGCGGGGGTTCCATCGGGGTCTCTGCTATATTGTTCTTAGGAACTGGGACAGACTCAAGCACCCACGAAGAATCTATTCTCCTTTGGGATAGCGATTCCTGCAGCCTGGGGTGGTGCAGAGAGAGGAGGTAGGTGGTGGTGTCGGTGGCAGCGATAGCCATGGTAACCGTGGTGGCGGTGGTGATGACGGTGTTGGTGGCGATAACAGTGTGACGGTTAGTACAGTGATTGTGATGACTGTGATCATGGGAGTGATCGTTGTGCAGGTCCTGATAGTGCTGTTGACAGGGACGGCCGGAGTCATGCGGCGGTGCTGGCGTTTGGTGCAGGTGGTCGTGATGGTGCTGATGGGCATGGCCATGATGGTCATAGTGCTGCAGGTGTTGGTGTAGATGGTTGGAATGGCAGCAACATTCATGGACGGAATCATCACGGTCATGTCCTCATGTCGGTGATCCTAGCAAAGTAATTCCCTGGTATCTACAGCACCATCAGGCCAAGGTGTCGCATTACAAAATAACCTTTCACATCAAATAACTCCCACACAGGAGCATCTCCGCCACGAGGGCACCTGCTGAGGGCTACCGTTGTGTTCCCCATGCCTAGACCAGTGTATGTCACAGAGACGGTGCTCACTAGATCACCTGCTGCATGAACAAAGAAGGTCAAGTATCTCTGGGGTAAACAGGACACTACTTCACTCGGTCTGCATTGTGGCCCTGCAAAGGGGATCTTTCACATTCTCGCTGTACAGACCAGAACACCGAGGCCGCGCGACACAGTCACCTGCTAAGCCGGCACAGGAAGAAGCAAGGGGATTTGGAGGAAGAAGCAGGCATTCACACTCAGGCCCTTCTGACACCTGCTGCAGTGTTTTTCAAGACGGCTCTCCCCGCCAGCCCTCAGCATTTCAGCAGGGTCTTGTCCAGGGCTTAATCCTGGAGGCCTGCTAATAATAGTAACGACTGCTGCTTGTAATTGTTTGAGTAAAGCTTATATGATCAAGACTATGGAAATTATTAATAACCCAGACCCAGCCATGGTATACTGTGGGTCATTTTAAAGAGTGTTGAGATGGATAACCTTGGTAATAATTGTACCCAGGATCATAGATTAACAACAAGGGGTACTTAAGTGAACACCACACCATGAAAACCCTTGGTAGTAAGCAGCTCCACGCTGCTGTTAATGCTAATGCTGCCCCTTTCTGCCTTTCCTGAATCCCTCTGAGAGGAAAGGCAGGTCTGTAAAAGCCTGAGGAGGAGGATTCTGAGAAGCAGCTCCGGTTGGAAGGGATCCTGCTGAAGAGGCGTGTACTGCCCTCTCTCTCTTGGCCAGCCACGGAGGCTTGATGTAAGAGCCACAAGGATGGTCACTTTTCCCTTCTGGGACTGTCCCCCCCTCCCAGTCTTTGTTGGGTGGTCACTGAGTCTGAATTGACTTGACAGCAATGTGTTTGCTTGTTTGTTTGTTTGTTTGTTTGTTTTCCACCTAGGAGATCACTTACCAACTACTTGTGTCTTGTCTGTGTGATAAGACAGGTGGAGAACCATGCGTTCCCCTGTGCCTCTCCACTCTCAGGCACACACGCACCCTCAGGCTCACACAGAGTGTGCTACAAACACCAATCCTGACTCTCAGTCCCACTGTCCCACCCTCTCCTCCACTCCAGCACCTAGCACAGGGCAGGGCCACGCAGATAGGTGGGCGAGTGTGAGTGCGTGAGTGTGTCAGAAGCACATGTGTGAGCTTCAGAGACTTTCAGTGTGCACACCTGTGATCCCTTCCAACCCATCATTTGAAAATTCAAATGATGTCGGAGTAGACTCCATCCGGAAGGGCTGGAAGGGCTCCACTGCACCCGCATCCCAGGCCACCCAGTAGCACTCCCTCTCTATTAGACGTTTGCACAGAGCGCTCCGTGCTGGGAAGGCAGAGTGGAGGGGAATGGGCCAGGGGGTGATGAAGTGGGCACTTCTGCTGATAAATGCAGGGCAGAAAGCCCGCACCAGAGAGAAGCCGCAGCCAGAGGCGGAGGAAGATGGGTAAGAGAGCGAGCCCTGCGGCTGTCCACGCGGGAGGGGACCGGGAGCCCCAGTGGGCTGCCCTGGCTCTTAGACCCACCGCATCCGTGTGGACTCGCTGCGCGCTGTGGATGGACACTGGGTACCAGGGAGGGGTGGGCTAGATAGAGCCTTGGAGGGCCCAGGCGCGGAGCAACGGCAGCCGGGCGCACGGGCGCGACTGCCTACATGCCCTCCCCTCCCCTGCGCTCTCGTCCCCGAAGCCGCGGGGCGGGCGGGCGCGGTTCCGGGGGTGGGCGGGCAGGGCGGGGAGGAGGCGGGGCCGCCGCACTGGCTTCACTCAGCCCCTCCCGCCACCGCCAGAACGAGCGGAGCAGCGGCCAGCTCCGGCGGGCGGCGGGCGGCGGGCGCTGGAGCGCAGCGCAGCGTAGCGCAGCGCAGCCTCATCGGTCCGCGGAGCGGACAGAGCAGAAAGCCGAGCGCGGCCGCGCCAGACCGGGATGCGGGCAGGTGCCGCCGGCCGTGCCATGGATGGGCCGCGCCTGCTGCTGCTGCTGCTCCTAGGGGTGAGTGCTAGCCCGAGGGGAGTCCGATTCCTTCCTGGATGGAAACCCGAGGGGAGTCGGCGCCGCCCCCCTGGAGACAGAGTGGGACATTGAGGTCCTAGATGCTGGGTGAGGGGGAGAGAGGCTCTGATGCCAGGATCTACGAGGAGCGGACCTGGAGCGGACCCTGGATTCCAGGGAGAAGCTGTGGGCTAGGGGACGCGCGGACGCCCAGCTGGGCACCGCGGGGAGCTGCGGGCGGAACTGGGAGGGGTCTCTAAGCGGGAGGTAACGGACTCACGGGTGCCTGGGTTCTTCGTATAGGGCGCTTGAATGCCAGGATATCTGGGGTCGTGAAACAGAGCCGAGAGGAGGGGAATGGGGCAGAGATGGGAGAAGTGGGGCGCCAGAGACAAGGGGATGGAACAATGGGGCAGGGGGGTTGGAGGGACTGGCGACAGAGGGGACCGGACATCGGACAATGGGGACCGGACAGACAATGAAAGGGAGGGGTATGGGGGGGAGGTGCGGGAGGAGGCCGGGTAGGTGGTGAGGACCAGCGGAAAGGGACAACGGCGAGATGGGTAGAGAGGCCAAAGGGCAGCGCGTCAAGTGGAGAGACGGAGGCGCGGACCGGCAAGCAGCGGGGCCCTGCCTGGCGGCCGGTGGAGGGACGGAGAAGCTGAGAAAGGAGGCGCGGATGCCAAGAGCCCCAAGGCCGGTTCTCGCGCCTCCTGGCCCGTTGTGCAGTTCCGGCCTGAAGCCGGTCTGGGAAAGGAGCGCCCACTTCGGGGAGCAAACCCCTCCTCGGCCCCCAGGGTAAGCGGCTTCGCCACACTCCTGTGCTGGCCGTTCGGAGGAGCGCAGCACCTGGAGAGATGGAGCGGGCGTCGCCCAGGAGGGAAGGTCGGTGCGGGCGCGCTCGGGACCGTCGGGGCATCTCACGGCCCCAAGTTGCGCCGGCGGGAGGCAGCCCGCAGGGGGCGCCGCGGGGAGGGGCATGGGTCCTCTGCAGCCGCGTCCGCACTGAGAGTGCGCCCCCCAACCCACAAAGTTACGCGACCTCAGCTGCTCTCCGGTTGCTCCTGCGGCTCCCAGTGGCTTCTGAGCCCCGGGGTCGTTTTGACCGGGTTTGCAGGCCATGTGGCCTAGTGGATGCTCGTGAACTCGGGTCCGTCCCCGCCGTCCTGGCCACCTTCAGCTCCTCTGAGCACGGAAGCCCCCAACTCCCATTTAACAGAGAAGGAAATGGAGGCTCTGAGCGTTTCAACAACTGGGCCGAGGTCCCACAATCAAGTTCGGGCCGAGGCGTGGCTGGGTTTCCCGCCCAAGGGTGCCCCAGTTCTTGAGAAGAGAGTGGGGGGGATGACCCCGTGACCCGAGTCGAGCCGCCGGTGGAGTACGGGGGCGGGGAGCAGAGCCCTCTCCGAGGCTCGCCCTGATCCCTGGAGCCGGCAGTACCTGTGGCTGCGTCCTGCGCTTTGGGAGTGGCCGGGGGCTCGGGTGCTGACCATCGCCGCTGGGCTCGGAGGGGAACCGGGTGGCCTATGGACCCCCGAGGGCAGGGAAGGTGTGCCTAAGTCAAGAAGAGGCGGGGAGCGACAAGCGCTGGCGTGGCAGGCCTGGGGGTTCCAGTGTGGTGGGGGGGCGCCGCGCTCGCCTCCGCTCCGACGCCAGCGGCCAGGCCGGGGCCGGCTGTGCGCCCCGCCGCGGGCCGACTTTCTTCCTGGGCCGCAGCGAGAGTGCTGAAACCAGAGCGCGCCCCGGCTGGCGGGCCGCGCCGGTAATGGAGGCACTTTGTCATTCAGACGTCTGTAACCGGAGCCGCCGGGCTGGCTAATGCGCCTAATAGGGATGCAGCCTGGGCAGCAAATGGGCGGGCGGGCGACTCCGCAGCCAAGGGTCCTAGCTCCTTGGATCAGCCCATGCCAGTCCCGCCTGCGCCTCCACGCTTCTCTGGAGGGGCGGGATTCGGAGGCGGAAATAATAAAATATATTGCCTGCCTACTATGTGCACCCCTGGGGACTTTCTCTTGCGTCATTTAATCCTTGTGAGCCGCCAACCCCCCCCTAGTAAACCTAGTTCTGGGGAATGAAGAAACTGACCTTTTTACAGATGAGGAAGTTGACCTCCCAAGTTCCTAGGCAGGAGAGCAGCTCCCCAGGGAGAGTGGTGGCAGTTTCAATGGACCCCAAGGTGCTCGGATAGGTATGCCAGATCACTAGGCTTCCTCCCCCTTCCCGCTGACTGGAGCCCCAGTGGCATAGTAGGCTGCTGCCGAGCTGCTAATGGCAAGGCCAGCAGTTCGAACTCATCAGTAGCTCCGCAAGAGAAAGATGAGGTTTTCTACGAACTAGTCTCAGAAACCCACAGCGACCGTTCTCCCCTGACCTGAAGGGTCGTCACGGGCCAGAATGGACTCGGTAGCAGAGAGTATGGCTTGTTTGGTTTCTGAATACAGATAGGAACTGGAAATACAGGGAATCCAGGGCGGATGAGCCCTACAGGACCAGTGGATTGAGTGGCGATACTGGGAGGGTAGAGGGAGGGTGGGTTGGAAAGAGGGAACCGATTACAAGGAACTATGTGACCTCCTCCCTGGGGGACGGACAACAGAAAAGTGGGTGAAGGGAGACGTCGGACAGGGCAAGCTATGACAAAATAATAATTTATAAATTATCAAGGGCTCATGAGGGAGGGGGGAGCAGGGAGGGAGGAGAAAAATGAGGACCTAATGCTGGGGGCTTAAGTGGAGAGGAAATGTTTTGAGAATGATGAGGGCAATGAATGTACAAATGCGTTTTACACAATTGATGTGTGTATGGATTGTGATAAGAGTTGTATGAACCCCTCATAAAACGATTAAAAAAAAAAAAGGTCAAGGCCCCAGGCTGGTGGCACTGTAAGTATGGAATTCCAAACCCCTTTGCCTCCACACAGAGCCTCAGCCCCAGCTCCAAATCTCCCAGCAGCACCGTGCTAGTAATGGGCTCATGTCTCCATTCCTAAAGGGGTGGGGCATGGGCCAGCACTTTCCTACATTTGCGTGACCTCCGAAGACACCCCAGATAGATATGTGCGAACTCCTCCAGCCCCATTCCACCCACTGACGAGGCTGTGGCTTCCTTCACGTAAGAAATCTTCGCTGACGCCGTTCATTGGCCACATTGAAGCGCTCATCCAGTTTCTTCTGATACTTGAAGCTATTTTGGTGTGTATGTCTATGTTGTTCAATTACGAGGAATTTAACTTTCTCAATAGGCGATGCATCTCATGTTCCTATTCCGTCCCCTAAAAAGCCTGGGAAGTCTAAAAATGGCTCAGAAATATAACAAGATTGCAAACATTCTTGAAAATGGGATGGAAGCATTCTGCCAAGTTTGAAATGCGGGAGTGTAATAAAGACAAATGGTAGCAAATGTCTCCATCGTTTTGGTAAACCGATCGTTTCAGACCTGCTTTGGGAGCACATAAGCAGAGTCCTAGTGACCTGTCCTGTTTCCCGATGCCTGCCTTAGGACAGAGCCATCCATCTGGTCCACTGCCTGGGTGGACCCTCTGTCTGGGCCTGTTTCCCCCTTTGTCAAAGAGAGAGTGAAAGTTGGCCCGCCAGTCTTTCCCCCTTTCAGCTTTTTGCCTCAAGAACTGTAGCTCCCTGCCACTCCCAGCCCAGAGATCAGGACCATGTCTCATTGGGAAGACTCACTAGATCGTTGCTGACTTAGTGAACTTGTAAAGGAAACCCATCCCCTAGCCTCTGTTGGCTCCATAACCCTTTTAGTCTTCTCCTGGTGGGGGACATTTTCTTGATACCAAACCTGAATTGTGTGTGATGCTGGTGAATGATATTGAAAGTACTGTGGGCCACCAGAAGAGCCCCCATGTTTGGGAGGAAGTAGTGACAAGATGCCCCCTAGACAAAAAGATAGGGGAGACTTCATCTCATGCACTTTAGACATGTTATCAGGAGAAACCAGCCCCTGGAAAAGGACACCATGCTTGGTCAAAGACAAAGTCATCAGAAAGGACAAAGCCCCCACGGAGAGGGATGGCACAGTGGCAGCGACAGTGGGCTCAAACTGCAACTGTGAGGACGGCGCAGTACCGGGCAGTGCTTGGCTCTGTTGTACACGCCGCTCCTCTATGTCAGAGCTGACTTGATGGCACTTAACAGCCACCACCATCACCTGCCCGTTGGGTCTAGCTGGTTTGGAAATGACTCTCACTACCTCCTGCCCCAGGTCACTTGCTCGCCGCTTTTCCTGCAGCAAGACGCGTCTTTGGCTCCTAACATTTATAAAACCCTTTCTCTATACACGCACATGTGTAGATTATTCATTTCCTTCTCATGGCGCCCCTGTGAGGTATTAGAGACCCGAGAACACCAACTAATCTACCACATACAGGGGCAGCCTGAGATCCTCTGAACATCCCAAGCTCACCGCCATTGAGTGGTCTTCAACTTATGGTGACATGACAGAGGGTTTCTGAGGCTGTGAACCTTTATGGGGACAAATAGCCTCATCTTTATCCCGAGGAGCAGCCACTGGGTTTGAACAGCTGGCCTTGCCGTTAACTATTCAACACTTATTCAGTAGCACCCACAGGGCTCCTTTGAGGAAACAGGGAAAAGAACATCAGGCATGTGGTTATTAGCTAGGTGACCTCAAGAGAGAGGAGCAAGGGCTTCTGGGAAGAAGGGTTGCTCACAGCTGCCACTCAGGAGAGTACCACAGATGGGGACCCTCAGCTCACCAGAGCCCAGGTCGCTCCTAATCTTCACCAACTGGGAGCCATAGCGGAAGCAAGAGAGACCTTGGAGAAGAGGAAGGGAGGTCTCAAGGCGTGTGAGCACCTGACCTGGCTACTCGGTGAATGCTTCCAGCAATCCTATGAGTGGGTGCCTACTGCTGGGATGTCACAGCACAGAGAAGTCCAAAGCCAGCTCCGGGTCACTCAGCTCGTCCTTAATGAACCAGGATGGAGGAGGCATCTGAGGAGAGAGGCACAGCAGCTCACACATTTCACTCAGAGACTTGCCCCTGCCTGGTTCAAACCCTGCGTACACTTGCTTTACACAGGCTTCCAGGGAGGCTAATCAATGAGAACGGTGGGGGGAGAGGCCGCTTCCGGTCACACTCTGATGGCGGCCAGGGTGGACAACTGAAACCTCAGCAGGAAGGAGACAGGCAGAAAGGCTGTTTTCAAAGCTGATGGGAGAACTCCAGCGGGTTCAGGTGTGATCTTTGGGATAAAGAACATGACCTGCTTTATAGCCCAGAATAAATGGCCGGTCCCTGAGTCATGGGAGAGCCAGGAAGATATATTCTAGAGGCAGAGGAGGGTGTGGGAACCAGGGTTAAAAAGAAAAAGCATTAGGGTTTGGAGGAACAGATTCTTGACCTGGGTCATTCAGCTCTCCAGAAAGTTATTTCCCTATGGCTGAGATCATATGATATTGCCATGTCCTTCAATTCCATGACTATAGAGGGTGGACCCCCTGTGTGGTGGGCCAGTTCTGAACCAGGTGCTGGGGCGAGTACAGCCCCTGCCCTGAGAGAGCTGGCAGTCTAGCTGGACTGTCCAGGGGGACAAGAACTGTGAAGGGAGACCTTGTAACCCAGCTGGTTCCCAGCTTTGATTCATGGTGACTCCAAGAGCGTCGGAGTACAACTGGAGCCCAGCGGGACTTCTATGGCTGCCTTGTTTTTGTTTTTCAGTGGGTTGCCAGGCCTTTCTTCTGAGGTCACCTTGAGTGGACTAAAATTTCCCACCTTGTGGTGAACGGGCACGTGTGCTCACCGTTTGCACTCTGCAGGGTAACAGGGTGGCTTGGCCTACTTTGGGAGGGGAGGGGTGACCTCTTTCCATAGAAGTGACATTTATGAAGCAGAGCACAAGGGACAAAAAGAACCAGAGCAGACTCCTCTGGAATCTTGCCTCCTGGAAGAAAGTCCGCATCTGGAACCCAGGAGGCTCCTGGTCTCCAGATGTTGCCAGCACTAGGAGGAGACGGTGGCCACACCCAACCTGGCTTCTCCTGGGCTACCTATGTAGACCCTCCCTACCAGTTTCATGAGGACCACACCTGTGCCTCTCACCCTCCTCTCCCACCAAACCCTGGAGAGACCTCTGGCTATTTGAGGTAAAGGAGAGCCTTGACCACGAACTGGACACTGTGGAGGCAGAGGGCTGCCCCTCAGGACCTAGCACAGAGATCTCCCTGGGGCATTCCAGCCCGTACTCTGCATCTAATGGGGCTGCGTGGTCTGGTCGGAGTCTCAGCAAGCAGGCTTTGGATGCTTGCTTTGTCTAAGTTTTATTAGACATTGTG